GGATTAGCAGCGAAGTGACAGTTACGAGTTACAGGGTCTAGCAGCGATCCATGCTGGCTGTCTGTAATAATCGTGATATTTATCGTACGGCAGGGCGGAGGGCCGCCGCGGACGGGCGAATCAGCCGCGGCGCTGGCCGGCCGTTGAAGGGCAGCGCGGCGGTGGGCGAGCAGGGCAGCCCAGGGTCTGGTCGGCCGCCAGCCATACCGTATCGTTACCGTGACCGCCACAGGGCGTCGCCCACGTTCGAGTCCCTCGAGGCACGCCGTACGAGGCGTTACCAGCGGCCTAGTCTCGGTCGCACTGCAGCTCCCGTTCCCAGAACAGGGGTCCGGCCGCCCGTAGGGCAGACCACACCACCGGAAGCCGCTGGCGGCCAGGAGCCTAGTGGTCAGCCGGAGCACCAAACCTCCTGTTAGTCGTGTCCGTCCTCGATCGCCGTCATCTCCAGGCCGGCGTCAGGAGAACGGGGTAATCTGAACAGCTAATTCCTGCGCTGTCGCCCTCTGCAGGCTGGCATGGAACCTGGCTTGGCAGGATTCCCGTCGCTTACCCAATCCCGCCCGCAGTACCTGACGTCTGGACAACCCATGTTGCCAGTATTCCGAGGATGGAGTGTAAAAAAAAAGAAAAAATAAATAACTATCAAATGAGTCGCAGAGAGACAAAAAGAAAGCACGTCGGAAGATAATCATTCTGCTGACGATTTGGCTCGCAGCTGTACCTACATAGTACTGCACATACAGCCTTGGGGCCAAACAAAATAGCTAAGCGAGCCACTACTACTACCACCAGCACTACTCCTCGGTTCTCCGTACGCAGGATTCCATAAGCCTATAAGGTTGACCACTGAAGCGGTGAGCACCAGCCTAGCGTCCCCCCAAGGAACGTCGTGTGATTTTACACAACAGAGTCTAGTCTGAATAGCTTTCTCCAGAACTGTGGATGTCCCCCTTTCCAATTTCAAGAGATGCGTCCCCTTGTATTTTTTTCTGTCAACAGAAAAGAAAATACCCCGTTGAAACCCATGACAATCACAGCCCCGGAAAATGGGTCCTTTGCCCACTCCATAACGACGCTGCAGACACCTGATCCGTGGTTGTCATTGCTGATTATTATCTCCTTCTTCCCAGGTACCCAGGTACGGGCGGTTAGCTAGTGAGGACAACAGCAGAGGCAGGCGGCAGGCCACGGGGCCACCGGGCTGCTGTGGGGCTAGATCGCTGCCACAAGACTTTTTTTGAAAAATTAAAAAATCAAATCCCACCACCCGTTTTGCACTACAATCGCATGGCATACGTCGAGGATGGTGGTGTGAATCTGCTGATGATCTGCCTGCCTTCTGGTCACGAGCAAGCAAATTTGGCTCTCCCAGGTCAATCCAGCCTTGCTCCCTGGTTGGACGATGAGGGCTTCCCCTCATCATCCTGCAGCGAGCAGGGCTGCCTGAGGAAGTTTCGGCTCCACCAGGCTAGGGCGGAAGCGCTGTCCCATGTCAAGCATAATCCGTTGCACAGTGCGTTGCACTGCCACAGTGATGATGACGATAGGTCCTGCCAAACGGGGAAACTCCCAATCTCATCCACGAGCACGGCGCAGGAGTCAGTCCCATGGCGCGCGCACCTGGGCTCCATAAGAAGCGTGCTGGAGCTCTCCACTACGAGGTAACGACACGAGCTGCTCCTGAATACGGAGGCAGGCAGCCGAATTGCAACTGGGAACGACCAGGAAATAAAGATCCTGCTCGATTACTGGCATCCCATTGTTCTTGGACGTACGTTCCACAATCATGTTGTACCAACGATGGGGGAACAATTAAACGCCTGGGGAAACGCACCTGAAACTCGCGACCCCAGAGCGGGAGGGAACAGGCCTGTTATTTTCCTGGTGCGAGTCAGGCTGTCTACGCGCCGCGCCCTTGGCCCAGCCCTGTGGAGGATTCAAGGAAGAAATAAGCAAACAATAAATAATCGATTAAATCAAAACATTGCAAGGACGCGATAACTGCCTGCATTATTGTTCTGTCTTGTTCCACGCAGGCAGTCCCTGGATTGTGGGCTGGACGCTGAATGGACAGCAGCTGCATTTCCGGGCGCCAAGACGGGGGTAGGGCAGAGATAATAACAAGCAGAAGGATAATTATAATTAGCCTTCTCAGCTGTAACGCTAAGGTTAAGGCCGTCAGCCTTAAGAGGCTGCGGGTACGCGCCCGTGCGCAGGGCTCTAGGCCATTCCCGGCGCGTTCCAAGGCCCGCTGCTTCCATCGGCCCATGGAAGCGCGTTTCTATTTAATGCTGCCGGCACGCGATGGACGGGAGCCCCTCTCGCCTCGTCACCGCAACCCCTCAGCAGCGAATCCCGAACCTCATCTGCACCCCAACCACCTCGCAAGGCACGCCGCGCGCCTGGTGGAGGCTTCCCATTATGACGGGCTCGGACGGCTGTCATCATTGGAGAGGCCTGCACGCTTTTCCTGTCTCCAAGTTGTCAATGTAACAGCATACTCCGTCCTGGCTCCGTCCCGGCAGATGGATCGGCAGTACGATGGTAGATG